ATATCTACTATCTACATTCATCTATATCCACAATCTACATTCATACATATCTACTATCTACATTCATACATATTTACTATCTACATTTATACATATCTACTATATACATTCATATATATCCACTATCTACATTCATACATATCTACTATCTACATTCATATATATCCACAATCTACATTCATACATATTTACTATCTACATTTATACATATCTACTATATACATTCATATATATCCACTATCTACATTCATACATATCTACTATATACATTCATATATATCCACTATCTACATTCATACATATTTACTATCTACATTTATACATATCTACTATATACATTCATATATATCTATCTACATTCATATATCTACTATATTCATATATATCCACTATCTATATTCATACATATCTACTATCTACATTCATATATATTTACTATCTACATTATACATATCTACTATATACATTCATATATATCCACTATCTACATTCATATATTACTATCTACATTTTATATATACATTCATACATATTTACTATCTACATTTATACATATCTACTATATACATTCATATATATCCACTATCTACATTCATACATATCTACTATATACATTCATATATATCCACTATCTACATTCATACATATCTACTATATACATTCATATATATCCACTATCTATATTCATACATATTTACTATCTACATTCATACATATTTACTATCTACATTTATACATATCTACTATATACATTCATATATATCCACTATCTACATTCATACATATCTACTATCTACATTCATATATATCCACTATCTACATTCATACATATCTACTATATACATTCATATATATCCACTATATACATTCATACATATTTACTATCTACATTCATATATATTTACAATCTACATCCATACATATCTACTATATACATTCATATATATCCACTATCTACATTCATACATATCTACTATATACATTCATATATATCCACTATCTACATTCATACATATCTACTATATACATTCATACATATATATCTACATTTATATTTATATCATATATACATTCATATATATCTATCTATTCATACATACTATATACATCATATATATCCACTATCTATATTCATACATATTTACTATCTACATTCATACATATTTACTATCTACATTTATACATATCTACTATATACATTACTATATACATACATTCATATATATCTACTATCTACATTCATATATATCCACTATCTACATTCATATATATCCACTATATACATTCTATATACATATTTTACTATCTACATTTATACATATCTACTATATACATTCATATATATCCACTATCTACATTTATACATATCTACTATATACATTCATATATATCCACTATCTTCATATTCTATATACATTCATATATATCCACATCTATATTCATACATACATTCATACATATTTACTATCTACATTTATACATATCTACTATATACATTCATATATATCCACTATCTACATTCATACATATCTACTATCTACATTCATATATATCCACAATCTACATTCATACATATTTACTATCTACATTTATACATATCTACTATATACATTCATATATATCCACTATCTACATTCATACATATACTATATACATTCATATATATCCACATCTACATTCATACATATTTATATCTACATTTATACATATCTACTATATACATTCATATATATCCACTATCTATTATATTATCTACTATATACTATATACATTACATATATATCCACTATCTATATTCATACATATTTACTATCTACATTCATACATATTTACTATCTACATTTATACATATCTACTATATACATTCATATATATCCACTATCTACATTCATACATATCTACTATATACATTCATATATATCCACAATCTACATTCATACATATTTACTATCTACATTTATACATATCTACTATATACATTCATATATATCTATCTACATATCATATCTACTATCTACATTCATATATATCTATCTATATTCATATATACATTCTACATTATACATATTTACTATCTACATTTATACATATCTACTATATACATTCATATATATCCACTATCTACATTCATACATATCTACTATCTACATTCATATATATCCACAATCTACATTCATACATATTTACTATCTACATTTATACATATCTACTATATACATTTATATATATATCTACTATCTACATTCATACATATCTACTATATACATTCATATATACATATCTACTATCTACATTCATTATATATATATCTACACATATCTACTATTCATTCATATATCTACTATATACATTTCATATTTATATCTACATTTATACATCTACATTCATACATATCTACTATATACATTCATATATATTCATACATATCTACTATATACATTCATATATATCCACAATCTACATTCCATACATATCTCCACTATCTACATTCATACATATCACTATATACATCATATATATCAATCTACACATATATATCATCCATACATATCTACTATCTACATTCATATATATCCACAATCTACATTCATACATATCTACTATATACATTCATATATATACACTATCTACATTCATACATATCTACTATCTACATTCATATATATCCGCTATCTACATTCATACATATCTCCTATCTACATTCATATATATCCGCTATCTACATTCATACATATCTCCTATCTACATTCATATATATCCGCAATCTACATTCATACATATCTACTATATACATTCATATATATCCACTATCTACATTCATACATATTTACTATCTACATTCATGGATGCATTTTGAAATAAGCTTGTAGTAGTAGGCAAAATTTAATAAATAAAAATATTTCTTAGATCTGTTGAAAACTATCACCTATTTATCATATCCTTAACTCTACATCGGTGGTTCTCAACTTTTCTTTACCCATAGACCACTTTTTATATTAATTTTTGTGGGTGGGTCTGCCATAACAATTCAGTGAAAAAAAAAATAGCTTATCTTATTTTTTACTAATAGATAAGTTAAGGAATTGTATTTTACAAATAATAAATGTAAATGCTTTATTTCGAAGTATAACTAATTTAATGAAACTAAGCTTGTATTTAACAACTAATTTCTAAGGAACATTTATGTGCACTAGTAAAATAACTCATAATAAATCATGTGAGTTATTACTAAATTCTAAAAAAGTGCAGATTTATTCAATGAGATGCTGCTCTGTCAGTTTTTTTATATTTGGCTCCATCGATGTCAATGATAGTGAAAGATTACACCTTTTCACATGTTGAGCTTATTACTATATTAATTTATATTAATATATTAATATTTTACTTTTATTAATATCTAAAATTAATATTATTATTTTTTATTATTAATATATTAAATTAATCTATATAATAAATTATAATCTTTATATAATTTTCCTTTATATATATAATCCTTCCTTTATATATCTTTCTCAGTTTTTATTCAATTTTTACAATCAAAATATCTGATGGAGTAAAAGTGCACTAACTTATATCACTTGATCTCATTTTCTGCTAGTTTAAGAGTTGTTTTTCTATTTTTAGTATTCTAATATGGCATAGATTACTGTAGAAATTCCAATTCTAAGTTGTAGCAACCATTCTAAAGTGAAGTTACTCTATGGACCACTAAAATATTACCATGGACCCCCAATTTGCTATTTTTGTGTGTGGACCCTGCTCAACATTAACATTAACATCGGCATCCTTAAGGACAAATCAGTTGGCTAACTTTGTATCTGAAACCAGATATTTGGATAAGCACAAACAAAAGATCAAAGACCATATATCAAATCAAAAAACAACATTCTGGTTGGAACCCAGATGGAAATGTGTATTCAAAAGAAATAATAACAACAATAATAACTAAACAGTAATAACTCTGGATACAACATAAACAATAAAGTATTTTCTCAATTATTCTACATGGATATACTCAAACTTTTTTCAAAGGAGCACTCACCACACTCTCCAAACACTTACTACTCTCAATATAAATCAAGGAAAAAGAGGGATTCAACATCAGTGCTCTCTATCCTTTTGGCAGAACATGGGAACTGCTGGTCTACTCCACTCTAATTACCAATGAACTAATCAAGACGACTGCCTGCTACAAAGAAGAAGTCTTTATTTCTCTCAGTCCCTCTCTCTGTTCCAATGTACTGTGAGCTACAAACTCTGTTTTGTATTTGAAAACAAACAAAAACAACATTCACCAAATGTTAATGCATTTTGAATATAAAAATCAACATTCTGCAGCAACCATCACAAGTTCTTTATTGTTTTAGAAGAATTATTAGATATGCCTGTGTATAAAGTAAGCTCGGGCCATGGTATATTATGATGCATTCAATGCAGCATATCACTGGTGACAGAAAGGTCTCTCACAGTGGAGAAAGTCATTCCTATGTCTAATGCATCCTATGGGTCAAAAAAGAGTATTTATTTCTGGAAATACAGAAAATATAACACAATCTCAAAAGAAGGCCAGGGAAAGTTCACTCCATTAACCTGGTTAGTTACAATCACTGACCCATGAACTTATCCCTTTCACCAAGTTACTATATTTACATTTTCCTTCCATATATCAATCACAATAATAACATAATTTCTCTGGGAAATCTAAAACTTCCTCTATTTACATTTTCTATGTGGTGGGTGTAAAATGATTTTTAAAAATCCCCAATTTTTATACATATATATATTTATGAAAAGACTGAGAGACTTTAATATCTTTTACTTATATGCTGCTTTTGACAATACCATCTAATGGTTGTTAGCAGAAGTTCTTTGGCAGACAAGTAGGGTAATCCCACTATTATTTACAAAAATTCTGGTGTAACAATTTTTAATGAGTACAAGTTGAAAGGTGGGTGTAAATAAAACATAAAGAGCAAACTTGATTGTAGAGAATAAAACAATTAAAGGAATGACAATTTAGGAAAAGAGAAGAAGTGAATAATGGAGAAAGAAATCATAAAGTTATTAGAGAAGTGAATGATGGAGAAAGAAATCATAAAGTTATTAGAGAAGTGAATAATGGAGAAAGAAATCATAAATTTATTAGAGAGGTGAATAATGGAGAAAGAAATCATAAATTTATTAGAGAAGTGAATAATGGAGAAAGAAATCATAAAGTTATTAGAGAAGTGAATAATGGAGAAAGAAATCATAAATTTATTAGAGAGGTGAATAATGGAGAAAGAAATCATAAATTTATTAGAGAAGTGAATAATGGAGAAAGAAATCATAAAGTTATTAGAGAAGTGAATAATGGAGAAAGAAATCATAAAGTTATTAGAGTAGTGAATAATGGAGAAAGAAATCATAAATTTATTAGAGAAGTGAATAATGGAGAAAGAAATCATAAAGTTATTAGAGAAATGAATAATGGAGAAAGAAATCATAAAGTTATTAGAGAAGTGAAATGATTAGAGTGAAAGACTGAAAATTGTAACGAATCCAAGATTAATATTTCTATGGAGGTTTGTTTGTATAAACTGTGAGTCCTTCAACATTTAAAAATCTCAAACAATGTATTCAGCACATATGTGAACAATAAATAAAAACAATAATATTATACATGTTTCAAACAAATAATTAAGATGCAAAACCAGAAAATGAGTTGGTGTAATTTAAAGTCTGTTAAAATAGGAAAGGTTTTGAATTAAATAAACATTCTTTTGAAGTCATGGAGTGCTAATTATCCGTCTGCATGTGTAGGCTTGAATAAGAGAGCGTGTTTATATATATATATATATATATATATATATATATATATATGATTGAGTGAGATATGAAATTAATCTCTCCCTAAACTCTACCATGTCTCTTTAACTACCCCTTTTACACTCTCTGTTAAATTACAAAAACTTACACGACACATCAATTTTAATTTCATTTTTTGTTTCATTTTATTTTTGGAAGTGCTATCTGATGATCTGGCGTCCTTTAAAAGGACTCTGGTGAAATTATTATAATGGTACCTTAAAGTGGTCTGTTTTTCTTTAATATATATATATATATATATATATATATATACACAAGAGAGAGAGAGAGAGAATTAGGCCTTCAGTTGGTATCAGACTGTCTATAAAAGTGAGTAGGTGATTGGCACTTTTAAAGTTGCCAGTAGCAAACAGATTTTTCTGAAGTGAGTGCATCAACTGATTGTGTGGTTACTGACTTTACTTTCAGAGGTTCCTCGCTTGAAAACTCAAATAGTCTGATCTGATTGGTTTATTATTCTTACTCTTTGTTACATGGTATAGTTTTCTGCTACAACCACACAGAACAGATTCTGTGAAACTGATTTTCAAATTTACAATATTGAGAGTGCAAGCACTAATTTTTTGATGGTGATATTTACTTATTTCAAAAAGTTCACAATTCAAAATGTCAAAGGTTCAAAGATTGAAAGTTAAAGGTTGTAAGTCAAAAGTTGAAAGTTAAAGAAGATGAGAAAATGCTGACCTACATTGAATGAAGCTGTTTTTTTAGGTACTTTGGATAAAATATCCAGATGTCTGAAACAAGCATTCTCAAATATAAGATAAACACTCATAGGTTTATATAGAAAAGACATTCTTAGTAAAGTTAATACTTGTAGATTTTTAGAGGTTCTTCTTTCTTCTATCTTTTTCTTCTTCAACAACAGTAATAGTAGTATTAGCAGAAGCAGTCATTTATCATTCCAGGTCTCAGCCTTTCTTACCAAGTGAGGTGTATTCCATTCTGACTTTGCAATCAAAATTTTCCCTTTACATTGCAAATAAGTGAATCAAAACTGACTCAAAAACCAACTATTTAGAGGGATTATACTTTTTATCCCCATTGCTTAAAAGTTTAAGAATCACTATCCAATTAAACGGCATCCATTAGCAATTTAAATTTGGCTTCTCTTACATCAAAGCCTAGTCACATTTTGTAAATCTTTGTCGCAAAATGTTTAAACCGTCCGGCTTCATTTTGGTAGCTTTTTTTATAACATCAATATGGAGCCTCTTTTTTTTTTATCATGTCTTTGCACATCAATTTTTATTCATGATTTTTCAGTTTTATTGTTTTGTCTTTTATTAAACATCTGGTTTCATTTTGTCAATTTCTCTTTCAAAGAAACTAAGTTAGTAATATTCTAATTTTTTAATTAGTTTTTCATATAATTTAATATTTTTACTTTTCTGGGGCCTGGGGATATAACAGTAAGAGATAGATCAAGTATCCACCATCATAAAGACTGAAAAATAAGATTGACAAAGATTATTGTTTAAGGTTGACGGACACGCATGTCTTAATTAGTTTTTTCTTTTCTTTTTTTTTTTTATGAATTGGTCAAACCCAAACTCAAACAAAAACATTGTTTTCTCTACCGATTGAATAGAATTTTATTATAAATAATTGTCTTGTAAATGGAATTTTTAAAGCATTCTGAATGTAAATATAAAGAAAAAAGTGTGCAAGACAATAAGAAACACTACATGCCAAAAAAAAAGTGAAGTTTTGTTGAAATCGGTTGAAAAATGTAGGTAGCCTTTCTGTAATCTTTTAGTTTTACAATTTATGATTTTTACTTATTGAATACAGTAAAAAAAAATGCATATTTTGCTTGTGCAGATTCATAAATAGAATTCTGATTTGAATATATTTTCCACTTGTTGTTTCTAATACAAAAAATATTAACTTTATTTGGGTTTATTAATTATGATCTAACAAATCTTATTCATTTAGTAGCCTTTCTGTAATAATAATCTTTTACAATTTAAGATATTTACTTATTGAATACAGTAAAAAAATTGGACACCATGTGTATTTAAAGTAGTTTCCCGTTCCGGTTATTATTTTTAGTTAGGACTTGTGTATGTTTAGATTTCATTATCTTTCCCTAAAGATAAAGAATTTATCTGATGTTTGTATTCGTACAATCAGTAGAGATCGTTAGATTATTGTTTAAGGTTGACGGACACACATATCTTAATTAGTTTTTTTACGAATTGGTCAAAACCAAACTCAAACAAAAACATTGTTTTTAATCGTTATGAGTCTCCCGATTGAATAGAATTTTATTATAAATAATTGTCTTGTAAATGGAATTTTTAAAGCATTCTGAATATTAAAAATAAAGAAAAAAATGTGCAAGAGAATAAGAAACACTACCTGCCAAAAAAAAAAGTGAAGTTTTATTGGCTGAAAAATATAGGAAATCCGATCCCATATTTAAAGGAACCCATACACACAAACAACCCAATGTGAGTTGTCCCCCTTCCATTTTCACGATGTCTCTTAATCGTGTTTTCAAATTGATTTTGTGCAAAAACAATTATATTTTCCCCATTTTTGGCGCTGTTAGAACCACCACAAGGTAATTTTATGTAGTCCTGTGAAGTTTTGTTGAAATCGGTTGAAAAATGTAGGAAATCCGATCCAATATATAAACGTTACAGACACACACACACACACACACACACACATACACACACACACACACACACACACAATCTGCATTTTATAATAAGTAAGATAATTTTTGTATTAATTTTACACATTACATTTTCTTAGTTCTTGATGCAATTTTAATATTATCTTTATTCTTTCTTTTATGTGCCCTCTCCCTCCAAGACATAGGCAATCATGGCCCTCTATATCCTCCTGTTCCTTGTAGCACTTAATAAAATTTTGTCTTTGTTATTTCTTCCAGATTCTGTTCTGCCATTCACTTGCTGAAGCCCATTAAGTATGTCACATGTTGCTTTCCCCTGTCCCTCTTTCCCTCTATCAATCCTGTGAGTATCAAATTTTCCAAGCCGTCCTTCCACATTTCATGTCCAAGTAATTTCAGCTGTCTCTTTCTGATGTTAAGTATGTTTCCTCTTTGTTTCCATTCTCTTCAAAATCTTGTCGTTCACATGTTCAGCCCATGGTATCTTTAGCATCCTTCTGTAGAACCACATTTCTGTTGCACGAGTCTCTTCTTCATCTTTGAGGAGATTGTCCAGCATTCACTGCTATACATGAGGTCAGATACTATGTAGCAGTTCAGTACTCTTTTCTTTGTTTCCAACAAAATTTTCTTGTCTCTTAATACTTTGCTTAGCTTTTGGAATTCATCTTTGGCTATCCCAATGCATCTTCAGGTCTCACACTTTTCATCCTCTGTCATAACAATTCCCAGATATTTAAATTTCTGTACTGGTTTGATTTTAGTGTCCCAGACCTGTAAATTGCATTTTGGGCTCATCTTTTTGCTGATGACTATGCATTCTATCTTCTTATAATTTATACTTAGTCAATTCTTCTCACACTCCTTAACTACCTTCTGTAGGAGATTTTATAGTTTCCTTTTCATGTCTGCTATAAGCACTGTGTCATCTGTATATCTTATGTTGTTAAGATTATGGCTGCCAATGATGAAACTTGGTAAGATTTCCAGTTCTCTCAGAATTGCCTCACTGTATAAGTTGAATAAGTCCAGTGAGAAGAGACTTCTCTTTCTATTTTTGTATATCTGCTGAACTCATTTTTATCCATATACAGGCAGTTTGCCGTCAAGAGGGATTTTTGATTATTCTAATGTCTTTCCCAATTATGTAAAGGTTACTGAGATCTTTATGGCATACTTTGTCAAACATCATTGCATAGTCTTTAAGACATAGATACACGTTCTTCTGCATTTGTATTGCTCTTTCTGGTAACATTTTGAGCATAAATATCCCATTCCTTGTTCTGGAGTCTTTAATGAACCCACACTGTTCTTGTCCTATCTCTGGCCTGATTCTGCTGCACACTCTATTCATCAGAATTCAAATGATGAGTTTTGTTATGTGGCTCAATAGGCTGATTTTTGGTAGAGTTCCTATTCGTTTGTGCCTGATTTCTTAGGTAGTGCTATTAGTTTACACAATTCCAAAATTTTAACAATTTTTTCTCATAAAATTTAATATCATATTTTTTATTAAAATAATTTTTTATAGTATGTTCAATACAATGTCTAAACTGAATTTGTCATGCAAACAAATTTCTGACATTTTTTATTTATCTTTGTGAGAGCTTCCTGAAGTCTAGTTTATTAATTTTTAACATTCTTTTGCACCAATCCAATTTCAGTCTCAACAGTGTTTATCACATAAAAGTTATAAATGCAAAGGAACAAGAAACAATTATGTCCAAGATTATTCAAATTGCATTAGGATTCCATGTATCAAAGAAGCAACAATTTCATTGATAGATTTATTAAGGCTAAATTCTTCTTTTCTTTTTATGTGCCATGTCCTTTCATGGCTCTCCACTTCCCCCCATCCCTTGTAGCTCTCAATAAGTTTTTTCCCTCTGCCACCTCTCCCAGACCATGTTGTCATCCACTTGCTGAAGCCTGCCAGGTATGTCATGCATTGCTTTCCCTTGTCTCTCTTTC